GGAGGACATGAAACATGTTTGGCTCGCTATGTTTTCCTCTCCTCTCCATCAGCGCTGATGCGATAGGATTTCTCTTTACAATGAATGGAAATGTCGAGCGGGGAACGTTCCCCACTTTACAGCCCGATTCCCCACATATCAACTCACACACCGTCATAGCCGTAATGAATAGCAGCAATGAAAAGCAGGAGGAATAAGATAAATAAAATAAAATATTGCTTTGTCACCGGATTCGTTCAAACTACTTTAACTGGCACACACGTCTTCCTGCTGTCAGCACAATATCTGTTTGAGCCGAGCGAGCGCCGCATTATCAAGATATTAATCATGGGTTGGATGCCAACGCCGGCTGGAAGCCCTCAATCTCCATTCAGGAATGCTGGGCTGTTACAATTCTCCGGACACGTCAATGCATATCTGAAGATCCTCTTTGTATTAGTTTTATTATCACTTTTCATCCCATGTAATTGCCTGTCAGCCCCTCCTGTGTCCAATTACGTGAAATCCAGCAAAGCACATTGCCATGCCATCAACATTATCCTTCTTTATTACACCGGAGTCACAGAATGAAACACGCCTCAGCTGACACGAAGGAGGACGTGGTTTTCCTACCAGCTGGTTTTACCCAAACTAAATAAATCAAACCCTCAGGGTCATTTTTATTATTTCATATCTGCTTCTGAGGTGGACCACCGCTCTGGTGAGGAGAAAGAATGACAGCTAAAGCTGTTAGCACCCGGATCACCGTCACGTCACTTCATCAGCTCACATTAAACATAAACGCCGCACCTTTCAGATTTTATTTGTACATAAACATTCTTTTTATCGATCAAAAATCATCTCAGTAAAACTTGCTGAACGTTGTGGATGAACTTTAACAGTATGTGGAAAAGTCTGTTTCCATGGTAACGTCCAGACTCGGTCAGAACCGGCACTTTTAGCACGCATTTGTGTTGGTGATAAAAACTGAAATCAGGAATCTGTAGCATCTATAAATAACCACAACCTTTCAACTAAAATTAATTTTAGTGAAAAAGCAATGATCTGCAGATATTGACAAAAAGCCAAAAGAGCCAATCAGCTTTAATCAAAGTGACCTTTAGTAGCCCGGTGATGTGCCTGCAGGGACAAACCACTGACTCACATTTCAAGAATTTAGAGCAGATTTTTTAAATCAGACTTATCTTGGTTGTTATATTTAGAGCCACGTTGTGGACTGAAGTCCTGATAACTCGTCTAATTGTTCAGCAGCGTATGTGAACCAGGAGGGGGCGCTCTGACTGCTGGGCAGGAAAGATCAGCTCTCTGCTGCAGCCAAACGGGATTCTGAGTTCATGCGAGTTGTGAATTTCTCCTTCTTTATATATAGCCTCAAGATGCTTCTCTTACATCAGCCATCTGTTCAGCAATCAAACAGCCAAATCCACTGATCTGAGCGAGATCCTCCATGACAGGCACACACAGCGATGTGTCATACATGCTTTTTTAGAGTTTAAACCTACTCAAGCTCACTAATTGTGTTTAATGTCCATGTTTAATCAGGCCATTCATCATTTGAGCTGACATAAGGGAACGTAAAAAAAAAGATTTCTGTATCAAAAGATAATAATAGAAACCTTCATGTGAAAAAAACATGAAAGTTTCTGTTTGAAGGAGACATTTCCATTCAGAATCACCTCAAAATGTTCTTGCAGACTCCATGATGTTTGACCTGAGAGCAGGTTGAACATTCAGAGCAGCTCAGCAGGAAGACAGAAAAACGTTGGCAGCCTTTATTTTCCTCCCAGGAAAGACAGTGAGCTTCTAAAATAATTAAAGCAGGACTAAAACCGACAGTCTGGAGATAAAAGGTGCCGTGAAGAGCTTGATGTGTGGCGTCATGGCAGATCATCCTCCTGTGAACGGACCAGCGCTCATTTTTTGAAGTCCTGCAGGGCGACACGGTGCAGCCGGGAGTGGTTACAGAAACGACAGCGAGTCTGAACTGAACCCGACAACACCATCAGAACCGCAGAGCCCAGGTTCTGCAGGAGGAGAACAGGCTGGACGTGAAAACAGTGGTGGATAATCCAACCACATAAACCAAACAGGAAATGTTTTCATGCTGCAATTATGACAAAATACTGACAACAAGGAACAGGAATAAAAAAGTGAGTTTTCTCCCTTTATAATCAACAAACTTTCACTTATTTTGTTGAGATTTTTGTGGAGACTTTACAGATAAAAGTCAGAATATTGTGACCTGGATTTACTGAACATTTCATTAAAAAAACCTTCAGCTGCAGTCAGAGTGGATGTGCACCGTTCAGGAACATCAACTCAGAAACAGCCAGAGACTCTCAGTTGGATAGGTCTGGCCTTTGACTAGGCCACTCTCACATATAACAATGCTTTGATCCACAACCTCCTGCAGTTAGACTCAGATTAAATGATTTTATTCTGACATTTTTATCCAAACTTAATTTGTCCTATAAAGACTCTGATCAACAGGGAACTCACTTGGCATTTTGGGGCCCTGAAAAATGACAGGATGTCGTTTTCTTTTCTCTGCTCTGTCAAATGACCTTAATGTGTCACAAAAAGTCACACAAACCCCCGTGCTGATGCACAGGCAGAGATAACCCAGCAGGAACAGATCTTACAACATAAATGTGGATAAAATAAGATCAACGTTTAGCATCCAAAACGCCAAGAAACCGAGCGAAAGCTTTAAAATACCGCCCGGATGTTTCTTTTGTAGATTAAGTCAAAACAGAACCGGGATGTTTTATGAGACTCACCTCTTTCAGAATTATTTTATTTATAAAAATGTAATTTTCTCTGCTTTGATTCTCTCTTTTATCTAAAACAGAGTCAGACTGCTGCAGCTGCAGGATCAGCACAGAAAACTAGGCTCTGCATTCAGCAGGGAAACATGCAGGAAACATGCTTCATTCCCTCTGACTGAAAGGAAGTGTCGACACATCGATTTAATCCAGTCTGTAAGCAGCAGCAACTTCCAGCTGGAACCTGCAGAACCAACAGACAGGAAGTTGGTTCTGTGTGTTTATGAGCCAGAGACCCAAAACCACCAGGAAGAGTCACCAGAGGAACCAGCTGCCTTCACTGACAGGTTTCCTGTCTCAGCATTTATCCTTTACTCAGATAATTCAAACATAGAGTTGATGTGACAGCCCCACCACTAGGGGTCAGGGTTTGTTTCTGCTCTCCAGGCAGATGGTTCAATCTGTGACCCGACCGCTGAGTAGTTCTGGTCTGCTGAGCCGGGATTTCTTCTGCACAGAGGAACTCAGTCTGCTGGCCTCTGCTCTCTGGCTTCTGCTTTAAGGAAGCACTAAACCTTATGAAAATATTACTGTTTGGCTAAAAGTGAGGAAAACAGTAGAAATATTCAGCAAAGTGGCAGGAAAGTCAAAGATATATAAAAATATAAATAAATATGTATAAAAACAGANTGATCTAAACCATTCATAATATCTCTGGCTGTGTTGGTTGTGTTGCTGGAAATGATTTTTCTTAAATTTCAACGTCCTGTAGTAGGAAATGTATCCGACTGATTAGCAAAACTTTATTATTCATGTTTTTTATCCTAAAACCACAAATGCAGATTGACGAATATCACGTTCCACAAATTTCAACATCAAATAGATGAAAATATATTTATTTTACAAAAATGCAGTTGTTTTTTAACATCAAAGCAGAAAGTTGTTTTTTTTTCTTTTTATGAAAACACCACTGCACACAGACATTTCTTAAAAGTTATAAATTGTCTCTTTTGAAAGGTCAGGTAAGATTTGCAGCTCTGAAAGAGTTTTCTGTCGCTGGACGGAGGGTGAAAAGGCTCTGGGTTGTAAAGGTTGCAGACTTCTGTCCTCTCCCAGTCAAACACATGGAAACGTTGAGCGGCTGCTTTCAGAGGCTCTGTGTGCAGCAGCAGCAGGATAAACCTGGACATGCCGGCAGCCTGGAGGACGTTCAGCTGCAGCTCTGCTGAATATGAATCCTGCTCTGACCAGATGACGATCTGCGAGGAAACGCTTTTAAAGAAGCAGCTTTCTGCTTCATTTAGATTTCTGTAGACTTGAATCATTAAATTCACTAGAAATGTCAGGTGTCAGATCCCGTCCTGCCCGGATGGAGATGGGCTCGGCTACAACTAATTATTCCTGAATCAATACAGGAGGACATGAAACATGTTTGGCTCGCTATGTTTTCCTCTCCTCTCCATCAGCGCTGATGCGATAGGATTTCTCTTTACAATGAATGGAAATGTCGAGCGGGGAACGTTCCCCACTTTACAGCCCGATTCCCCACATATCAACTCACACACCGTCATAGCCGTAATGAATAGCAGCAATGAAAAGCAGGAGGAATAAGATAAATAAAATAAAATATTGCTTTGTCACCGGATTCGTTCAAACTACTTTAACTGGCACACACGTCTTCCTGCTGTCAGCACAATATCTGTTTGAGCCGAGCGAGCGCCGCATTATCAAGATATTAATCATGGGTTGGATGCCAACGCCGGCTGGAAGCCCTCAATCTCCATTCAGGAATGCTGGGCTGTTACAATTCTCCGGACACGTCAATGCATATCTGAAGATCCTCTTTGTATTAGTTTTATTATCACTTTTCATCCCATGTAATTGCCTGTCAGCCCCTCCTGTGTCCAATTACGTGAAATCCAGCAAAGCACATTGCCATGCCATCAACATTATCCTTCTTTATTACACCGGAGTCACAGAATGAAACACGCCTCAGCTGACACGAAGGAGGACGTGGTTTTCCTACCAGCTGGTTTTACCCAAACTAAATAAATCAAACCCTCAGGGTCATTTTTATTATTTCATATCTGCTTCTGAGGTGGACCACCGCTCTGGTGAGGAGAAAGAATGACAGCTAAAGCTGTTAGCACCCGGATCACCGTCACGTCACTTCATCAGCTCACATTAAACATAAACGCCGCACCTTTCAGATTTTATTTGTACATAAACATTCTTTTTATCGATCAAAAATCATCTCAGTAAAACTTGCTGAACGTTGTGGATGAACTTTAACAGTATGTGGAAAAGTCTGTTTCCATGGTAACGTCCAGACTCGGTCAGAACCGGCACTTTTAGCACGCATTTGTGTTGGTGATAAAAACTGAAATCAGGAATCTGTAGCATCTATAAATAACCACAACCTTTCAACTAAAATTAATTTTAGTGAAAAAGCAATGATCTGCAGATATTGACAAAAAGCCAAAAGAGCCAATCAGCTTTAATCAAAGTGACCTTTAGTAGCCCGGTGATGTGCCTGCAGGGACAAACCACTGACTCACATTTCAAGAATTTAGAGCAGATTTTTTAAATCAGACTTATCTTGGTTGTTATATTTAGAGCCACGTTGTGGACTGAAGTCCTGATAACTCGTCTAATTGTTCAGCAGCGTATGTGAACCAGGAGGGGGCGCTCTGACTGCTGGGCAGGAAAGATCAGCTCTCTGCTGCAGCCAAACGGGATTCTGAGTTCATGCGAGTTGTGAATTTCTCCTTCTTTATATATAGCCTCAAGATGCTTCTCTTACATCAGCCATCTGTTCAGCAATCAAACAGCCAAATCCACTGATCTGAGCGAGATCCTCCATGACAGGCACACACAGCGATGTGTCATACATGCTTTTTTAGAGTTTAAACCTACTCAAGCTCACTAATTGTGTTTAATGTCCATGTTTAATCAGGCCATTCATCATTTGAGCTGACATAAGGGAACGTAAAAAAAAAGATTTCTGTATCAAAAGATAATAATAGAAACCTTCATGTGAAAAAAACATGAAAGTTTCTGTTTGAAGGAGACATTTCCATTCAGAATCACCTCAAAATGTTCTTGCAGACTCCATGATGTTTGACCTGAGAGCAGGTTGAACATTCAGAGCAGCTCAGCAGGAAGACAGAAAAACGTTGGCAGCCTTTATTTTCCTCCCAGGAAAGACAGTGAGCTTCTAAAATAATTAAAGCAGGACTAAAACCGACAGTCTGGAGATAAAAGGTGCCGTGAAGAGCTTGATGTGTGGCGTCATGGCAGATCATCCTCCTGTGAACGGACCAGCGCTCATTTTTTGAAGTCCTGCAGGGCGACACGGTGCAGCCGGGAGTGGTTACAGAAACGACAGCGAGTCTGAACTGAACCCGACAACACCATCAGAACCGCAGAGCCCAGGTTCTGCAGGAGGAGAACAGGCTGGACGTGAAAACAGTGGTGGATAATCCAACCACATAAACCAAACAGGAAATGTTTTCATGCTGCAATTATGACAAAATACTGACAACAAGGAACAGGAATAAAAAAGTGAGTTTTCTCCCTTTATAATCAACAAACTTTCACTTATTTTGTTGAGATTTTTGTGGAGACTTTACAGATAAAAGTCAGAATATTGTGACCTGGATTTACTGAACATTTCATTAAAAAAACCTTCAGCTGCAGTCAGAGTGGATGTGCACCGTTCAGGAACATCAACTCAGAAACAGCCAGAGACTCTCAGTTGGATAGGTCTGGCCTTTGACTAGGCCACTCTCACATATAACAATGCTTTGATCCACAACCTCCTGCAGTTAGACTCAGATTAAATGATTTTATTCTGACATTTTTATCCAAACTTAATTTGTCCTATAAAGACTCTGATCAACAGGGAACTCACTTGGCATTTTGGGGCCCTGAAAAATGACAGGATGTCGTTTTCTTTTCTCTGCTCTGTCAAATGACCTTAATGTGTCACAAAAAGTCACACAAACCCCCGTGCTGATGCACAGGCAGAGATAACCCAGCAGGAACAGATCTTACAACATAAATGTGGATAAAATAAGATCAACGTTTAGCATCCAAAACGCCAAGAAACCGAGCGAAAGCTTTAAAATACCGCCCGGATGTTTCTTTTGTAGATTAAGTCAAAACAGAACCGGGATGTTTTATGAGACTCACCTCTTTCAGAATTATTTTATTTATAAAAATGTAATTTTCTCTGCTTTGATTCTCTCTTTTATCTAAAACAGAGTCAGACTGCTGCAGCTGCAGGATCAGCACAGAAAACTAGGCTCTGCATTCAGCAGGGAAACATGCAGGAAACATGCTTCATTCCCTCTGACTGAAAGGAAGTGTCGACACATCGATTTAATCCAGTCTGTAAGCAGCAGCAACTTCCAGCTGGAACCTGCAGAACCAACAGACAGGAAGTTGGTTCTGTGTGTTTATGAGCCAGAGACCCAAAACCACCAGGAAGAGTCACCAGAGGAACCAGCTGCCTTCACTGACAGGTTTCCTGTCTCAGCATTTATCCTTTACTCAGATAATTCAAACATAGAGTTGATGTGACAGCCCCACCACTAGGGGTCAGGGTTTGTTTCTGCTCTCCAGGCAGATGGTTCAATCTGTGACCCGACCGCTGAGTAGTTCTGGTCTGCTGAGCCGGGATTTCTTCTGCACAGAGGAACTCAGTCTGCTGGCCTCTGCTCTCTGGCTTCTGCTTTAAGGAAGCACTAAACCTTATGAAAATATTACTGTTTGGCTAAAAGTGAGGAAAACAGTAGAAATATTCAGCAAAGTGGCAGGAAAGTCAAAGATATATAAAAATATAAATAAATATGTATAAAAACAGAAGAAAGAATGGCAGTAAAGGGGGAATTTACAGCATAAAAAACATTGTGCAGTTATTAAAACAGCATATTCAGATTCAAAGAAATGTGCAGCTGTGTAGAATAATTAAAAAATGTGCAGCCTGAGTATTGCTGGTATTGATTATGATCATTTTCTTTCTTTCTCTTTATTCCAGTTTTCCAGCCACTCTGTGAGCTTCAGCTTCTGTCAGCATGAAGTTCATACTGAATATTACATCATATATAATAACCCACCAAAGACCTGGTTTTGTATCATACAAACGGATATTGTGATGACTGCTGTGATTTGTTTTGTTGTTTTGCTGAAGCAGCAACTGCGACTCACCTACAGGAAGTTTGAGGATTTTCCTAATGAAGAATCTGTGCTGAAAGTCAAAACGTCACAGTTTTTCCCCTCAGCTGTTCATGAGCCTCTGAGGTCACTTCCTGCTCACTGGTTCATGTTTCCAGTTTCCAGGCTGGAGCCGAGGCCAAACGCTGCAGCTCCATGTTTAGTAATATTCACTGTTCAGATGAAGACATTTCTGCTGTTTAATGTTTCAGTTCTGTCTGTGAAATGAGTGATAAGAGCTTCAACAAAACGAGCAGCACTAAACTCTGACCTGAACTTTTCTTGCTCTACATGAAGGTTAAAGCTTTTGGTAAAACTAACTGACTCATTAAAACAGGGGTCCCCAAACTTTTTCCTGCGAGGGCCACATGACTGTTCCTTGTTCTGGTCGGGGGCCGGTCTTTGTTTTTCGAGAAAGAAACCTTAGAAAAGTTTTGTTGACGGGGGGGCGGCGGCGGCGGCGGCTGGATTACTGCCGACGACATATTAGCGTTTGTAGATAGATTTTTACCCAGAATGCAAATGGAAAAAAACCGTGAGCGAAACGGTGACTGGTACTGACTAGAATATATTCCATTGAGGGAAACTAAGTTTCATATCTGCTCAAGAGCGCCCCTGGTGGTTGAAGAAAAATCCACATATATATGAAAAAAAACACTGAATGCTCTCTGGTATTGTTCAGGGGGCCGGACCAAATGAGGAGGCGGGCCAGATCCGGCCCGCGGGCCATAGCTTGGGGACCCCTGCATTAAAACATCAGAAACTATTTAAACCCAGACTTTGTCTCACCTGCAGAGATTAAGGTTAAACATTCATAGAAGGTCATTTTTGAGTAAAATTCAATATTTTGTGACAGATTCCTGAAAATTTAGCTTAAACTGATTTGTTTTTTGCCCTGCGACAGACTGGCAACCTGTCCAGGATGTACCCCGCCTCTCGCCCGGAACGTTAGCTGGAGATAGGCACCAGCACCCCTCCCGACCCCACTGAGGGACAAGGGTGTTCAGAAAATGGATGGATGGATGGATGATTTGTTTTTTTGTATAATCATAACATTTAATTTCAATTAGTCTAAAAACCGTCATCAGATTAACAGACACATAATAATCTGTACCGTAGGTGAGCCTGCTAACAGGTTAGCTTCCCTTGGTAGCCTGGACTGAACGCAGCTGAAGTCGTTTCCTTTCTAATGTGTTGCTCTTTGATGTTTAATGCCTTATTATGATTGCTCAGCTGAATTTTGTTCTTTGTAAATTAAATAAAAAGCTTTGGGCACCATTATTATTCTGCAGCTTTTCATTTGAGCTAATATTAGCTCCAACGCCAGGCTGCAGTCAATTACAGGGTTTTGGAAAGTTGGTTGTGACCTTATCCAGGCTGACAAACGGCCAGTTTCTTCACACCCCTCTGCATCCCAGTTTGCGTCGCCTTCTCTTATTTATTGCTTCTTTCTAAATGCCACATTTGCTCATGTGTTGCTGCGTAGAGCGTCGCCTCTCTTTCATTTCTACTTTTCACTGCGTTGCAGTTAAACTTTTGTTGTGTTTGTCTATCAAACCCACGACAGGAATAGGTTTAATGTGCGTCTCTCTGGGCTTGTTTGCCTTTTGGATTTTATACTCAAATTAGTCGAGCATCATACCTTGAAATACAGCAGACACCTTGTTGTGGAACTGTGTAAATATAGTTAAGGATGGGAGGACTGCATTATTTTTATGGTATGAGCCAGCCATAATCACCTGTACCAACAAAGCGGTAATGGCCTGGCGGCGCTCCTCGCTCATTTCCTTGGGGTAATGACCCCTCAGAGCCACTGAACCCTCTGTGTATACTTATGCTGCACTGGAAGGCGTTTAACCATCTTTGCAGCCCACATGAGAGGTCAGGATCACCTTCAGTCAGGCATTAAAATAACTCTCCCTCACACAGCCTATCACTCACGGCCATTTCCACTCCCAAATGAACACATAAAATGTACTCTTATGCGCTACCTGCATCATAAATTTCCCAGTGAATTGATGAGTCCGTCCACAGCGGAAAGCGTTTCAGGAAGAGGAGCTGATGGTGGAGACAGTTTATTTCAACCAACACAATCCCACAATGCAATGTGGTTTCCTTCAAAATCAAAAACTTTATGTTGAATTAATTGCTTTAAAGGCACCGAACTGCAAAAGTTATTGTAAAAGTTATTAAATATCACAGCAGTCATCACAATATGAAAGGTTAACCTTT